ACTGCTGCATAGGAGCGGTGTGGCCAGGCTTTATGCTTTTAACTCCCCCCCCCACACACACACACACTGTTCTGGTTGTAGATCCTGGCATTGATTAAATATCATTTTTTAAAAAATATTTATTTTATTTATTTGAAAGACAGAGTTACAGAAAGAGGTAGAGCCGGAGCCAGAGAGAGAAGTCTTCCATCCGCTGGTTCACTCCCCAGATGGCTGCAACAGCCAGAGCTGAGCTGATCCAAAGCCAGGAACCTGGAGCTTCTTCCGGGTCTCCCACGCGGGTGCAGGGGCCCAAGCACCTGGGCCATCTTCTACGGCTTTCTCAGGCCACAGCAGGGAGCTGGATTGGAAGTGGAGCAGCCGGGACTCGAACCGGCACCCATATGGGATGCTGGAGCCACAGCTCAGGGCTTTAACCTGCTGCCCCACAGTGCCGGCCTCAATGTCATTTTTAATTCACTGACAAAGGGGGCGGGGAAGTGAGAGAAAAACAGGACAGGCCTCTGTGAGACGACCTTGGTAGACCCCGGATTCTGCCCACTCTCTGCGGTTTCCCAGTGTTTTTTGGTCTTTCAGGCTTTATTTATTTGAAAGGCAGGGTGACAGAGAGGGAGAGGGGGAGGGAGAGAGATGGGCCATCCTGCAACACCCAGGTCTGGGCCGGACCAAAGCTGGGAGCCAGGAACTGCATCCGGGTCATCCACGTGGGTGCAGGGGCCCACGCACTGGAGCAGCCCCTGCAGCCTCCCGGCGGTGTCAGCAGGGAAGGAGTGGAAGCGGCCCCTGGGGCTCCTAGATACGGGATGCCGGCCTCACCCTTGGCACCACGCCGCTGCCCGGCTGCCCGTTTGGATTTTTGAATGATGACATTTGCACACGCCCATTAAGGGACATTCGGGAAGAAGGAGACTTCGAAAGAAAAAGTTACCCAACACAAGCGCAGTTGACGTCTAATTCCGTCCAGCGCTGTCCTATAAATAAGTAGCATGCTTCCCATGGAGCTTTCCCCTCCCCTCAAAGCAGAGTGGCCCGCGGGCGCGGCCGCCTTGCAGTCCTGAGGGCCAGCAGCTGCCCTGCCCGATGTCGGCTTGCGTGGCCGGGAGCTTGCGTGGCCGGGAGCTCCTCCGAGGACCACGGACCCCGAGGCGCAGCCCCTGCTTAGCTGCGCAGGGCAGGCGCCGGCTGCGGGCTCCCTCCCCTGTCCCGGGCCCCGCAGCGCGTCCCAGCCAAGAGCAGGCTCCAACTCCTCCTGCAACGGTCTTCAGGGCTGATGCCGAAACGGGGTGTTTCAGTCTCAGTTGATTTTAGGGTGAAAGAGGCTGAGTTTTCACACATAAATCACATCTACCAAAGCCCTACTTTGCTGGGACCACAGCCCCTGCTCCGAAAAATGTTTAATTTTTTTCCAAGTCCCATTAAAGTGACAGCCTCGGGGCTGGCGCTGTGGCCTAGCGGGTAAAACCGCCACCTGCAATGCCAGCATCCCATATGGACGCCAGTTCGAGTCCTGGCTGCTCCACTTCCAATCCAGCTCTCTGCTGTGGCCTGGGAATGCAGTGGAAGACGGCCCAAGTCCTTGGGCCCTGCACCCACGTGGGAGACCCAGAGAAAGTTTCTGGCTTCGGATTGGAGCAGCTCCAGCTGTTGCAGCTGACTGGGGAGTGAACCAGCGGATGGAAGACCTCTCTCTCTCTCTCTCTCTCCCTCCCCTTCTCTCTCTGTGTAATTCTTTCAAGTAAATAAATAAATCTTAAAAAAAAAAAAAAGACAGCCTGGGTTATCTCCGTATTTACACACAACTCAGAAGGTTCAAATAAAAATAGAGACCTCATTAGATTTGGATTTCTGATAAACAATAATCTTCTAAGTATAAGCATGCCCCAAACAAGCGGCAGGATACACTTATGCTAATAACACATATTCACTGTTAGTGGGAATTTCAAAAAAATTGTTTTTAATTTATTTGACAAGTTACATATAGTAAGAGACCGAGAGAGAGAAAGATCTTCCTTCTGTTGGTTCATTCCCCAAATGGCCGCTACGGTCGGTGCTGCGCTGATCCGAAGGCAGGAGCCGGTGCTTCTCCTGGTCTCCCATGCGGGTGCAGGGCCCAAGCACTTGGGCCATCCTCCACTGCACTCCTGGGCCACAGCAGAGAGCTGGCCTGGAAGAGGGGCAACCGGGACAGAATCTGGCGCCCATATGGGATGCCAGTGCCGCAGGCGGAGGATTAACAAGCGAGCCATGGCGCCGGCCCCTCAAAAAAATTTTAAAGATTTATTTATTTAAGCCGGCGCCGCAGGCTCACTAGGCTAATCCTCCACCTAGCGGCGCCAGCACACCGGGTTCTAGTCCCAGTCAGGGCATCGGATTCTGTCCCGGTTGCTCCTCTTCCAGGCCAGCTCTCTGCTGTGGCCAGGGAGTGCAGTGGAGGATGGCCCAGGTGCTTGGGCCCTGCACCCGCATGGGAGACCAGGAGAAGCACCTGGCTCCTGCCATCGGATCAGCGCGGTGCGCTGGCTGCAGCGTGCCGGCCGCGGCGGCCATTGGAGGGTGAACCAATGGCAAAGGAAGACCTTTCTCTCTATCTCTCTCACTCTCTCTCACTGTCCACTCTGCCTGTCAAAAAAAAAAAAAAAAAAAAAAAAGATTTGTTTATTGATCTGAAAGGCAGGGAGGAAGGTCTTCCATCACTGGCTCACTCCCCAGAGGGCCACAACAGCCAGGGCCGGGCCAGGCTGAATCCAGGAGCCAGGATCCCCCACGTGGCCCCCGCTCTGCTGCATTCCCAGCCGTCGAGAGGAGCGGGATCGGAAGCGGAGCAGCCAGGATGGAGCACAGGATGCAGTGCACCCTGGGAAACTCCAATTTGCCTGGGCCTCTGGCGTGCTTGTCTGGCAAAGCACCCCAGAGAGCTCCGTCCAGCCTCACAGGAGCCCCAGCCGTGGCCTGCACCTGCTGCCTGAGAAGGGGAGCCAAGGCTGCACCGTGTGGGGTGCGCGGGGAGGCGGGGCATGGCCTGGAGGAGCTGAGTGAAGCTTTGCCGGCTGACAGTGAGTGGGTGAGGTCTGCTTTCTCTGGGGAGAACCCGGAACACCCAGGCAGGTCTGGCTCTGGGGGCTGGGGAGAGCCAGGGCACATCCTCCATGCGGTCCCTGGGAACGCCCCTCAGGGTTGCCAAGGCCAGGAGGGAAGAGAAGGGCAAAGGCACGCGTAGCCCGAGACCCAGACGGGCGGACCCCTCGGGCAGACACAGTCCCGGGACCGCAGAGGGCTCTCGGCACGGCTTGAAGCTTCGGGCTCCACACATCCAGGGCCCTCCCCTCACCTGGGCAACCCCCTTGCAGCTACACAGCGGCTTCCAGAAAGTTCTGTCCTTTGTGCCCAACCTCCCATTCCTCAGGGTGGAAGCAGGCCGTTAGTGATCTCACCTGGGGCAGGAAGGCGTTGTGTGCCTGATTCCAGCCCGGGCGCTGACCGCTGGCCAGCACGGCCAGGCGACGTCGGGACCCGTGGGGTGACCAGCGGGTTCTTCCTTCCCCTACCCACCCGCCTGCCCGCCTTCTCTCTCCAGAGAAGCTCCCTCCCCCTTGGGCGCCCTTTGCCTTCTCGGGATGTTGCCCTCGGGGCCCACCTGGGCAGCCCTGGCTGGCTGTGGGCAGAGCTGGCTCCTCCTCTGGGAAGCAGAGAGCGGCACCAGCTTTCTGGGCATTCTGCCTCTTCATTCACCAATAAAGGGGCCGGCGCTAAGTGCCCGGCTCGGCCAAGTCAACACCTGGAACCCAGGGCTTCTGACACCTAACCCACCTCCCTTGTGCGGTAACACCCGGCCCTGCCCTGGCCACGTGCTGCCTGGTGGCTCTGCAGGGGCACAGCCAACGCCTGGTGCCTGTGCGACCCTCAGCTCCCTCCCTCCTGAAGGGAGTGACCCAGCAGCAGGTGCAACTCCCACCCTGCTCCTCTGTGCTGGGCACGTGGTCCGCGGTGAGTAAGTTCATCACGGTTGTTAACTGCAATGAGCTGAAATCTCAGGTTGTTACCATAAGGCCTCGTTACAGTACCACGTGCAGAGGAGGGCCAGCGGGCTCGCCCCACGCAAAAATCTCAGCCTTAGAGGGAGGACGTGTAGGTCACTTTGCCGAATCCCGTGTCCCCTTGGAGGTGATTCTGAACACGTGTACACAATATTTTTCATCTCTATTTCACACACACGCATACGCACACGTCCCAAGTTCCCATCTTCTGATTCACTCAAGTGCCCCCAGGGGAGCCAGGAGCCCAGTCACCAGGGTCTGCTCCGACAGAAGCTGCAGTCGGGAGGCAGAGCTGGGCCTGGGAGGCAGGTGTCTTAAACAGCAGGCCAGAGGCCCAGCCCCTGAAGGCACTTTGGCACACAGTGCTAGGGGCTGCACACCAGCCCCCATCCACTCCCTCCCTGAGCGCCCACGCCGCGCCACGCCGCGCTGCTCCAGGCACTGGGGATGCAGCCGCCGAGCCGCGCCGTCCTGCCCCTCACGCTGGGGTCCCGAGTCAGGCCACGCAGGAGCAGGAGCGGAAGACCGGCCAGCAACGTCAGAGAGCACGTGGTGGGTGATGCGTAAAGTCAGAGGGGCCCGGCTGTGGCCGGCGCTTGGGGTGGCAGCGCCACCTACTGGCAGTTTTGGAAATTTCTATAGCCTTTTCCTGGCCATATCCTGGGTTAGGGGGCTCACCTGGGCAGGGTCCCCACGCACCCAGCGGTACACAAGATCATGAGGATGAGGGGACGACAATGACGCCTTCCATACGACTCTAGAATATCCCAGAAGACTCCCAGGGTGAAAATTGTGTTTACAGTTATCTGAGCCTAGAAACCAACCTGGTTTTGTAATTCAGCACCAATTATTTTGTATACAGACTTATCACTCACTGTGTTTTCAAGAACTCAAGCACTGTGTACATGCAGGGAAGGTTACACTGTGTGGTGTTTGGGGATCCAACAGGAGCTGTTTTAGGGGCCATCTGCTGCTGCTTCCCGGCACCTAGCAGGGAGCTGGGTCAGAAGCAGAGAAAGCCGGCACTCCGAGGTGGGATGTCAGTCTCCCAGGCATCAGCTTGACCCGCTGCACCACAACACGGCCCCTTTTTCTTTCTTTCTGAAGTATGTAGTTAGGTTGGCTTTTTAAAACCATTTCTAAACATTTGCATTCTTTATTTTCATTTTATTTGAAAGGCAGAGAGACAAACAGACAAAGAGATCTTTCATCCACTGGTTCACTCCCCCAAATGACCACAACGGCCAGGGCTGGGCCAGACTGAAGCCAGGAGCCAGGAGCTGCTTCTGGGTCTCCCATGTGGGTGGGAGGGGCCCAGGGACTTGGGCCACCTTCTACTGCTTTCCCAGGCCACAGCAGGGAACCAGCGCCCATATGGGATGCTGGCATTTCAGGCCAGGGCATTAACCCACTGCACCACAGTGCCAGCCCCTGTCTTTCCCTCTCACTGTCAGTAATTCTACCTTGCAAGAAAATAAATGAATTCTTTAAAAAAAAGAAGAGCTGTCACTTGGGATGCCCACCTTCCAGAGGAGAATGCCTGGGTCTGAGTTCCAGCCCTTCTCTGCACTCCAGGACCCCACTAACGGGCACCCTAGATTATGGTTCAAGTCCTTGGGCCGCTGTCACCTACATGGGAGACCCAGATTGAGTTTCTGGATCCTGGCTTCAGCCTGGCACAGCCTTGGTTATTGTAGGCATTTGACAAGCAAACTAGTGGCTGGGAGATCTGTCTCCATGTCTCTCTCTCTTTTATTTTTTAGATTGATTTATTTATTTGAAAGGCAGAGTTACAGAGAGAGGAGAGAGACAGAGAGAGAGGTCTTCCATCTCCAGATGGCCAGTGGCTAGGGCTGGACCAGGCTGAAGCCAGGAGCGAGCGCTTCATCCAAATCTCCCATGTGGGTGGCAGCGATCCACTCGCTGGAGCCAGATTCCGTTGCTCTTCCCATGAGCAGGGAGCTGGATCAGCAGCGGAGCAGCTGGGGCATGAACTGGTGCCCAGATGGGATGCCCGCGTTGAGGCACTGGCTTTACCCACTACGCCGCAAGGCCGGCCCCTCCCCACCTCACGTCTCTGTTTCTCTGTCTCCTAATTTGTCTCTGCCTTCTAAATCAATATAATTAACTAATTAATTAAAAAGCACAACAATACAATAATACAAAGGCAAGACACAGTGCAACAGTTACTTCCATGGCGTTTCTACTGTGCCTGATAACCTAAGTGATTTAGACGCGATCGCCAGTATATGGGGAGATGCGAGCAGACTGCAGACCCCACACCGCTACCTCTAGGGGCCTGAGCTTCTGCAGATCTTGGTATCCGCGTGAGGTCCCGGAGCCCATCGCTGGAGAACAGGGACAGCTGAGGACGCAGAGCCCCCAGCGGGAGGCCCGGCGCTAACCTGGGGTCAGGGTGTTGCTTTGGCTGTTGCAGTTCTCCGAGTCGGCCTCGGCAGAAAGGGGTCAGTTGGATGCACTTGACGGGCAGCTACCTGAGTGTCAGGTGCCCTGGGAGGTGGGGCAGCCCCGGGGGCTCTGCTCCGGCAGTTTTCAGGTTGCTGTCCCGCAGCTCAGCTCCTTGGTGGGCACCTTATTTCGTCAAGCAGAGGGTGCCGGTTGCAGCCGCCCAGGAGCTAGCAATGGTTCCTCCAGGAGGCCAGTTCCCTCCAGCCTCACAGGCAAGAAGCAGGAAGCCAGAGCCCCACGATGGGGCCATCTGATGAGCAGCGGCACAGCAGAGGGGCTGTCATGTAATTGGTTTGTTTTACTTGTTTTGAAAAGCAGAGAAACAGATGATGAGAGAGAGAGAGCGTGCACCTATCTCCCTGCCGGTTCATCCCCCAGATGCCCGCCACAGCTGGGGCTGGGCTCAGGCCACAGCAGGGAGACCTCAATCCGGGTCTCCTGTGTGGCTGGAAGGAATCCAGTCACGGGAGCCACCTCTGCTCCCAGGGTCTGCGTTAGCAGGAAGTTAGACTCTGAAGCCAGAGTGCAACCTAAACCCAGGGGCATGGGCACCATAACCACCAGGCCGAACGTCCATCTCGGGTGTTATTTTCAAGGGGTTGACTCTGGGCTCTTCTCCCTTCCCTGGGTCGGGGCTGAGGGCTTGGCTGGTGCACGTGGGAGGACCAAGCTGGACGAGGTGCCCTGTGTGCATTGATTTGTACAAGGTTGATGGAGACACACTGCACGAGGCAGGTGCTGAGGGCCACACCAGCTTCTCACTGTTGGAGAAGAGGATACGACTTCCTACGGAAAACAGGGCAAAGATGGAGTAACCAGTGGTCTTGCACTAAATCGGCCATGTTGGGGTGAACTCATGGACTTTCAGAACACAGAGGTAGACATGGAAGCTGATGTAGACCTGTGTAAGTGCACACACACACACACACACACCCCACACGTGCACATGTCCTAGCTCAGGCTGAGGGAGGCCCACAAGCAGGGACAGCCCATGACAATTCACAGGCCCAGCACCCAGATCTCGGTTTCCAATCACCCCCCTCCACTAAAAAGAAAACAACTAAAACTGTGCCGAAATAGCTGATGCCAAGGCCAGAGCAGGGAAACCACAAGTTGATCCAAGTGAGAGGAAGCGCAAAGACCACACTGGTGGTTTTTTATGTCAAAGCAACATGGGAACCAACTGAGGGAACTCCCCACGGTCAGCTGAGCGCTGGCCGGGAGCTCATGACGCCTGCTGCTCCAGACGTCGGACCGTTTGGCTCTGCCTTGGGTGCCATGAACTCCCCAATGGCTGACTGCTACCCAGAGGGTAGGTTTTGCTGTCAAAGATCGACAAAGGTGAAACCAAGGGCCTTGTCTGTCTTTCTCCGCACTTGGAGTCTGGGCTGAGTCGTCAGAGGCCCAGGCCCCGTCCCTCCCTCTGCATCCCCAAAACTCGCCTTGCCTCGGGGTCAGCATCGCTGCCCTGCTTCCTGCCAGATGCCCCTGTTTCTACCAAAAGGACAGGGAAAAAGACGGAAAGAGGGGCAGCTTTTGGCCTCCTGCCCGAGACGCCCACGTTGGAGAACCTGGGTTCGATCCCTGGCTGCAGCTCCAGATCCAGCTTCCTGCTGACACAGAGCCCGGGAGGCAGTGACGACGCTCAAGCAGTTGGGTTCCTGTTCCCCACGTGGGAGACCTGGATTGAGCTCCCAGCTTCTGGCTCCAACTCGGGCCCAGCCTTGGCTATAGCGGGCGTTTGGGGAGTGAGCCAGCAGTTTGGAGCTCTCTATTTCTGCCTGTCTGTCTCTCTGCCTGTCCCACTGCCTCTCAAAAATTAAATTAGAAATTAAAAGGGTGAGTATGTTCCTCCTCTTTGATCACATGACCTAGAAGTGAAATAGATCGCTTCTGCTGATCCCACTGTCTTGAACTTGGTCACCAGACCATGTGACTCTCTGGGAGGCAGGGAGCAAGGTGCTATTTTACTGAACAACTGTGTACACAGCCAACAAGTATTTTGCCAGGTAAGAAAGGGATAACAGAAATTTGGGGATAGTTATCAGCCTCTGTCATTCTTGCAATAAATTCCTTGTTTTGTTTAGTTCAAAGGAGTTGGAATCTTTCGCATGTGACCAGCAACATACAGAAATACAAGAAAAAGAGACACACTTTCATTGGCCCATCGCCTGTGAATCAGGCAGTTTAAACAGACACCTCTTTTCAGCTCGACAGTGGCTCTGGGAAGTAGATCTTGACAGATGAGAACATGAGGCTCAGAGGGACACAGTGACTTGCTCACAGTCACAAGCCCTGAGTGACCGAGCTGGAGCCTGAAGTCCAGGTTCTTCCCGGTGCTCCTCCTCGTTTGCCCTGGGCACTTCCCTGCGCCCTTAACGCGGGCGCCCTGCCACTGAAGGGAGCACACTGGCCCCGCAGTCTCTGCTCCCTGTCTTCTAAGGGTGGCAGGCTTCTCTTGGGTCATGTCACCGTCACCCGCCGTGACACACCCTTGTGCTTAGACAGCTGGGTGTGGCTGGAGCTGTGCCCTGATCTCAGGATTAGAACTTGGGCATTGGGACACCCCTTGGCTGTCCATGAATTTGTGACACGGTGATTGGCACTTCTCATGAGAAGTTCCCTCTCCAGTGCGATAAGCCCAGAAGGTAACCAGAAAGGGATCAGTGCTAAAACCCAGAGAGAGGAGCAGGTGTGGGGTAGGGTGGTGGCAACAGCTTGCGGGCGTCAGGTCAGGCTGCAGAGAGAAGAGGATGCTGGGCACACGGATCTCTCGAAACTGGGTGCTTCTCCCAGGGAGAAAGTCCAGGGTCTTCTCACTTATCTCCCAAGTGAGTGGCAACTCATGGCGCAGGGACTCTGGGCCAGAGGTTGAGGGTGTGGGGAGGAGGTAGCAATGACGGGGTGGGGAGGAGCTGGCAGGATAGTATCTGGAGATGCCCAGAGGGCCGGGGCCGCCACTCAGGGGCCAGTCTACCCTGCTGAGGGCCCTGGACTTCACTCTCCAGGGCAACAGGTGGTTATTGCCTAGGTGGATCCCTGTTTTACCATGGCCTGTGTCACGCAGCCCTCGGAGTTCTAGGCTGTGTCCTGTGTCCCTTAGGCGCCGTGAGTCGAGAGAGCTGCCTTCCTACCGGCACCCGGAGGCTTTGCACTGGGAGCCTGCTGGGTCTCGAGGCACGAATCTGAGCAGGACCAGCAGCCATCACCCAGCACGCCAGCAAATGTTTTCTAGTTTCCTCTTTTTCCGGATGCCTGTGATTCGTTTCCAGCGGTGAACTGGAAAAATACAAGAGGACTTCAAAGCCGTTCGTGGAAAGAACCTAGTGAAAAGATGTGTTGTGGTGCAGAAAAGTCTTGAAACCCATGCAGAGGCTTCTCGGAATAGACAGAGTCCTTGAACGTGGTGATGACCCCTCGTGTGTCATACTCACACAGAGGCCATGTTGATCTCTGCATATTCCCACTTCAGTATATGTGTCACGAGTTACGGAGGGGCAGTCGGCACAGCGGCTAAGCTGCCACTTGGGGTGGCCACGCCCACACTGAAGTGTGTGGCACTGGGTCCCAGCTCTGCTTCCAAGCCAGCCTCCTGCTCATGCACACCTGAGAAGCAACTGGTGAGAGCTGGAGTACGTGGGTTCCTGCCACCCATGTAGGGACCTCGACTGAGTTCCGTCTCCTGGCTTCAGCTGTTGTAGCCCTGGTTGTTGTGGGCACTGGGGAGTGACCCAGCAGATGGAAGATCTGACTCCATCTCTCTGTCTCTCTGCCTTTCAAACAAATAAATCTTTTAGAAAACCAGTTGGGTTGGAATCTTTACTTAGTATATACTAAGTTGATCTTCTGTATATAACGATAATTAAAAATGAATCTGAATGAAGAATGGGATGGGAGAGGGAGTAGGAGATGGGATGGTTTGCAGATGGGAGGGTGGTTATTGGGGGGAGAAAAACACTATAATCCAAAAGTTGTACTTTCGAAATTTATATTATTAAATAAAAGTTTTCTAAAAAATGAAAAGAAAACCAGTTAGTTCTTAGGGAGGGATTCCTAACTGGCAGCACCTGCCAGTTTCTTTGCTGTCAATACTACCCATGATCCATTCAACAACCCACCAGTATGATGTCATGGAAGAAATATGTGTAATCGGCTCTCATGACCCAGTGTGAGCCGGCTCCAGCACACACCGCTAAAACCCGTCAATTATATGAATGTGGAGTGGGCCTGTTGTGGCTCAATGAGTTAAACTGCTGCTTAGGATGCCCACGTCCAATGTCAGAGTGCTGGTTCAAGTCTAGGCTACGCCACTTCTGATCCGGGTCCCTGCTAGTGCATCTGGGAGCCAGTGGAAGATGGCCTAAGTACTGGGGCCCCTGCCACCCACATGGGAGACCCAGATGGAGTTCCTGGCTCTGGGCTTTGGTCTGGCCCAGTTCTGGCTGTTGCAACCATTTGTGGGATGAGCCAGCAAATGGAAGCTCTCTCTCCCTATCTATTTCTCTCTGCCTTTCAAAAAAAATGCCTTTTAAAAAAGTATGCAGAGGGGTCAGCACTGTGGTGCAGCAGGTTAAAACCTTGGCCTTCAATGTCAGCATCCCATATGAGTGCTGGTTCGAGTCCTGGCTGCTCCACTTCTGATCCAGCTCTCTGCTATGGCCTGGGAAAGCAGCGGAGGATGGCCCAAGTGTTTGGGCCCCTGCACTCACTAGGGAGACCCCAGAAGATACTCCTGGCTCCTGGCTTTGGCCTGACCCAGCCCTGGTCGTGGCAGCCATCTGGGGAGTGAACCAGCAGATGCAAGACCTGTCTCTCCCTCCTTTTCTCTCTCTCTCTCTCTCTCTCTCTCTCTCTCCCTCTCTCTCCCTGTCACTACTTCCCTCTGTAACTCTGCCTTTCAAATAAATAAAATAAAATCTTCTAAAGAATTCATAGATCCACGAGTGCCTCTCGGGGGCCTGGAGGCAGCACTGGATGCCCCTGCAGCGCTGGACTGTCCTGTGTCTGTGGATATCCTCTTCCTGTGATTTCATTCTCTTCCTGCCACAGCAGGTGGACTTTCTCTCCTCTCCAGTCCACGGAGCCAAGAGACATTATTGTCCGTGGCTTCTAGGCTTCCAAGTGGCCCCTGAGCAAGAGAGAAGCCAGACTGAAGCTTGGCCTCTTTTCGCCTCAATTTCTTTTTTTTTTTTATCTAATTTAATTTTTTATTTGACAGGTAGGGTTATAGACAGTGAGAGAGAGACAGAGAGAAAGGTCTTCCTTCCGTTGGTTCACTCCCCAGATGGCTGCTACGGCTGGCACGCTGCGCTGAAATGAAGCCAGGAGCCAGGTGCTTCTCCTGGTCTCCCATGGGGTGCAGGGCCCAAGCACTTGGGCCATCCTCCACTGCACTCCTGGGCCACAGCAGAGAGCTGGCCTGGAAGAGGAGTAGCCGGGACTAGAACCTGGCGCCCATATGGGATGCCAGCACCGCAGGCGAAGGATTAACCAAGTGAGCCACGGTGCTGGCCCTTCACCCCAATTTCAAATTTCGTGGAGAAGGAGCCCATTGGTGCAGCGTGGCTCAGGGCCCAGTCAGGCGTGACCGGGAAGCAGGAAGCTGGCACATGGACATGTGAGCAAGCCCTCTGATCCTGTGAGCGTGTGTGAGGGAGGGGGGAAGGAGGCCGAAGGAAGAGGAAGCAGCTCTGAGCAGCCCGCACGTCACGCCGCTCAGCCTGCGGAAGTGGGGAGTTACCTGCACAACGCTCCGTGCGCTCTCCCCTGTCTTTTGAACTGTGCATCCCGCAGTCGCTGAATCACTCATGATGTCTTCATTTAATCATGCACTTGGCCTTGATTTGAAATTTATCGAATACCTATTTTTTTTTTAAAGAGAGACAGAGAAAGATGAGAGATCTCCCGTCTGCCTGTCACTCCCCAAACGCTCAAGAGGGCCTGGCCTGGGCAAAGACTGAGCCAGGAGCTGGGCGTTCATTCGGCCCAGGTCTCTGGTCACTGCGCCTCCACCGCTGTCTCCCGAGGTCTGCGTGAACGGGAAGCTGGAGTCATTCCCATATGGGACTTGGGGGTCTTTTTCCCTTAAAATGTATATATGTACTTGAACAGAAGCCACACACACACACACACACACACACACACACACACACAGATCTTCCATGGACTGGTTCACTCTCCAATTGTCCACAACAGCCAGGGCTGGGCCAGCCCGAAGCCAGGAGTCTGGAACTGCATCTGGGTCCCCCACACGGGTGGCAGGGGTACTTGGCCCTCTTCTGTTGCTTCCCCAGGCCCATCAGCAGGGAACTGGATCAGAAGTGAAGCAACTGGAGCTCCAACAGTTGCTCATAGGGGATGCCAGTGTCACGGGTGGTGGCTTAACCCACTGCACCACAGCGCCAGGGGCCTTAAAGGGCTTCTTAACTGCGAGGCCGAAGTCCCACCCCTCGTGACCTTTCTGAAGTCTCCTCGCTTGTGGCAAGTGCCACTCGCCAGAGGCCCACCCCGGGGCACTGTATCAGGCAGCCTGCAGGATGGCCCCGTGACCCTGGCCTCCTGGCCTTCACATGCCCGCACGCCCCTCCCATACCGTGCCAGTGCTGCTGTGTGACTGCTAGGACAAGAGAGCCGCGATGGTCCGAAACTCTCAGCGTTAGCTTCCATCTTGAATTTGCTGTCTTTCACTCTGAGGTGCCAGCACTGCCCGAAGCCAGCTGTTAGGCCGTGAGCAGCCCCCATGGAAAAGGCCCACGAGGCGAGGAACTGAAGTCTTCTTCCAAGGCCATGGGAGTGAGCTTGGAGGTGGGTCCTTTAGTGGAGAAGCAGCCCTGGCCATCAGCTGGACTGCAGCCTCTGGGCCAGAACCACCCAGCTAAGGATGGAGAGAGAATGCACATTTCCTGTTTAAGCCGCAAAGTTGTGGGGGCCATTTGTTCACGTCAGTGGGTCCAGGAGACCACATCTGAGGTGATGTTCACAGGACAAACTCACCAAGCAGAGACAAATAGTGGGATTAGTGGGTCGACTGGCGATGCAGCAGGTTAAGCTGCCACCTGCGACATGAGATGCTCTGCTTCTGCTCCAGCTCCCTGCTCCTGGGCCTAGGAAAGCAGTGGAAGATGGCGTGGGTCCTGCAACCCTCGTGGGAGAACCAGCTAGAGTTCCCATCTCCTCACTTTGGTCTGGCCCAGCCACAGCCGTTGTGGCCATTTTGGGGAGTAAGCCAGCAGGATGGAAGATCTCTCGCTTTTTTAAAATATGTACTTATTTATTTGAAAGTCAGAGTTACACAGAGAGAGGAGAGGTAGAGAGAGAGAGGTCTTCCATCTGCTGGTTCACTCCCCAATTGACCACAATGCCCGGAGCTGCACTGATCTGAAGCCAGGTGTCTGGAGCTCCATCCGGATTTCCCACACGGGTGCAGGGGCCCAAGGACTTGGGCCATCTTCTACTGCTTTCCCAGGCCACAGCAGAGAGCTGGATCAGAAGTGGAGTAGCTGGGACTTGAACTGGCACCCATGTGGGATGCCTGCACTACAGACGGTGGCTTTACCCGCTACGCCACAGCACTGGCCCCTGGAAGATCTCTATCTCTCTGACTCTCCTTCTCTCTCTGTCACTCTGCCTTTCAATGAATAAATAAATCTTTAAAAAAAAACAAGAACAAAAAGACTGTCAGGACATTATTGTGAGGTCACATGCAAAGCTGAAGATGAGAAAATGCAGAGTATAAATGGAGAACCGTGAGCGGCCTGGTGCAGCCCCAACTGGGATATGCACAGAGGGGCAGCGGCTGGGGGTGTGGAAGTGCGCCAGGCTGGGAGAAGAGCTATGGGTCCTTTATCAGCTTAGTTGGTGGCTTCAAACTTTCTTAGCAGTAGGATCCTTTCTTCAAATAAAATCTTGTTCAAAAGGCCAACCTAGAAAGTGACAAAGTGAAGCTGCCCTGGTTGCAAATAGGAGTGGAGGGTTGTCCCCTTCATCCCTCTCCTGACCTGACCGTGGCCCGGGATCAGGCACTCGGAACTCAGAACTCAAAAGCCAGGAGCCCAGTTCTGGTCTTCCATGTATACTGCAGGAACCCAACCATTTGAGCCAACACTGCCTCCTCCCAGAGTCTACGTTATCCAGAAGTTGAAGTCAGGAGTCGGAGGTAGATATCAAACCCAGATACTCCCATGTGGGGTCTTCACTAAACACTAGTCCAAAAGCATGCCCTGTGTGTTTTTTAAATTTACTTTTAGGGGCCAGCGCTGTGACACAGCAGGCTAGCCTCCACCTGCAGTACAGCATCCCATATGGGCGCCAGTTCGTGTCCCGGCTTCTCCACTTCCGATCCAGCTCTCTGCTGTGGCCTGGGAAAGCAGCAGAGGATGGCCCAAGTGCTTGGGCCCCTGCACCCATGTGGGAGACCAGGAAAAAGGTCCTGGCTCCTGGCTTTGAATTGGCCCTGCTCCAGTCATTGCAGCCATGTGGGGAATGAACCAGAAGATGCAAGATTTTTGTTTCTGTCTCTCAAATAAAGAAATAAAATATTTTTAAAAATTTATTTTTATTTTTATGTGTTTTGAAAGCAGAGCCAGACAGAGAGACCTCTTCATCTGCTGATTCTCTCTCCAATGCCTGCAACAGCAAGTATGAGGCCAGGCCAAAGCCAGAAGCCCAGAAGCCATCTGTATAACTCACGCAGGTGGTAGGGACCCTAGTACTTCAGCCGTCACCTGCTGCCTCCCAGGGTGCACATTAGCAGGAAGCCGGACCAGAAGCAGAGCAGCCAGAACTCAAACCCAGGCCCTCTGATCCGGGACCCAGGCTTCTTGACCACTGCACCACTCCACACTGTCTGAATTTTAAATCACGTGCATTATTGATTAGTTAGAGAGGTAAAAGAGAAATAAGCAACACTGAAGACAAAACAACATCAGCAATACCAAAAACCCCTGGGTGGAAACCCCAGGGGGGTGGTCAAGCAGGGTGAGGTCGCACTGCAGAAACCAGAGGGGCTGGACACCAATCCAGAGGCCAGAGCTGGTGCCGAGGAAAGCGGAGACCGGGGCGGAGAGAGGGGCCTTCTTCCTCTCTGCAAAGGCTGCCTTTAACACACTTCGTGTTTTACTTATGCCCGCCAGGGTTCCTGACAGCTAAGCCTATTCGCCCGGCCTCTGTAAGGGAGTTTGATCCCACAGAGCGGGGCACAGGTGCAGGGGAAGTGAGGTGGCAGGAGCCCCAGCCGCGACAAGGGGGCTCGGCCTGCAGGACGCTCCTCCTAAAGCCGGCTCCTGTGGGAAGAACTCACTCATACCCCATCCCAGCGCTCAAGGGCTTGTTTAATGGGCTCTCTCTCTCTCTCTCTCTCTCTCTCTCACACACACACACACACACTTGTAACTCTGGAATTGAGACTTTTGGCGGAGGCAGGAATTGAACAAGTAACTGCAAGGTGGTGAGTGTTCGGAAGAATTAGCAAATCGAAAGCTTTGGTGGGAATCCAGATGCAGACACAGCCCAGAGGAAGGGTGGCAGTCAGCCAGGCCCGGGAGGGTGCAGGCAGGGGAAAGCCAAGGCTGGTGGGAAGCCCTGCAGCATTTAGAGCTGGGCAGACCGGTAAGCACTTATTGAGCACCAAGTATATACGGGGACGTGGCCTCCTGTTGTGCAGGCTGCCTCTTCCCTTCTCCCCGCTTTTGTCCCTGGGAGCGGTGGCTTCTTCCTTCCTGCCCCTGGCTCATGGTTACCATAGGAACAACCTCTTTCCTAGGCCTGCACCTCACCCCTCTGGCCACAGCTGATTGGACTAGAGCCGAACACCTCACCGAGGCTAGGCCAATCAGAGCCTCGGCCCCTGGGGAGGCTGGGCGTGAGGAGTGATTGAGGCTGTCCGTGCAGGGCAGCTCGGGATGCTGGCAGGCAGCTGGACTGGGAAGCAGTGAAAGACAATGAGGCAGAAGCAAGCGGCTGAGTAACCGGAGAGAGCCTGGTGCCCGTCGTCTGTCCCAGAGCGGGCAGCACCTGCCCCGCCCGCTGAGGCTCTTTGGAACAAAGCCCCCTTTTCTGCTTAAACTGCATCCAATGGGTTGTTACGAACTTGCAAGCAAACAAGTCCTGACTAAAACCTTGCCAAGTGCTAGGGCTTTATAGTTTCGTGGTCTCTGCCCCGAGGGTCATAAACCAGTAGGAGACACAGACAAATTCACTAAACATTAACTACGGGGTAAATGCTATAATATAAGTTAGTTCAGAGCAGGGAGGTTGTGCAGAGATAAATGAAAATATCAGACGTAAAAAGCTTTTGAAAAGAAAGTCCCCTAAAATTACACTCATGAAGTCTAACCACAGCTCTACTTTTTGTAAAAATTTAATCAAAAACTCGAGTCAGTTTACTGGCAAAATGATGCTGTTTTAAAAAGGCATTGCTGGGGGTCGGTGTTGTGGTAGAACGAGTTAAGCCACTGCCTGCAACCCTATATAGGAGCCAGTTCAAGTCCCAGCTGCTCCACTTCTGATCCAGCTCCCTGCTAATGTGCCTGGGAAAGCAGCGGAAGATGACCCAAGTGCTCGGGCCCCTGCACCCACGCGGGAGACCTGGAAGAAGCTGCTGGCATCGGCCTGGCCCAGTCCTGGCCATTGCAGCCATCTGAGGAGTCAACAAATGGATGGAAGACCTCTCTCTCTTCCTCTCTAACTCTACCCTTCAAATAAATTAAAAAGAAAAAAAAAGGCATTCTGGTCTGCCGCCTGACCGTGGATATGCCGTCCAGGGGCTCCTGCTCTGACTGGTGTTTGATGAGTAGATGGATTCATAACCTTCCAGTTTCCCCAGAATCGGTACATCTCGGGCATGGTCCTGCGCTGCTGTGTTGCAACCTCCCACCCCTCCTGCCCTGCCTGCATCAACCTCTCCTTGACTCCAGGAGATGAAAAGGCTGCTGACTCACTAAAATAAAATCCTGTGAATGACACAGATGGAGAGGTTTGCTGATTGACATACCATTGGCACGGTACTCACATGATGGTGACATTATGTTTGGGGAGAAGGTGTGACCGACCCCACCTAACCTATCTACAAAATCATCCATCCAAGGACGCTGCACAATGTTTCAAACCATTTATGAGAGCGACGATGTGTACCTGGGAAATCTGTGCCTCCACCCTCATCGCAGACAGACGGCTGTTTACTGCTCTGAAGTTTTGATAGTGGAGATAATGGCTTACGCTCAGCTTAGGAGCACCTTGGCACACAGGAACAAGGTGGGCTTTTGTGTCAAGCTGCCCTGAAGTCAAATCCCAGCCTGACTGACTGCCAGCTGTGTGTCCTTTGAACAAATTATTGTCATCTCTGTACCCTCAGAGGATTGGGTCCAGAACCCGCTCCCAAAGACACCACCCTGCATGCTTGCTCAGGCCCCTTACATTAAATGGCTAGTGCTTGCGCATAACGTAGGCATGTCCTCCCGTACCCTTTAAACCACCTCTAGATGCCTTACAGTCCCCAACACAATGTTAATGCCAAGAAGTCGTCCTTCCACCATCTTGTTAGTGAACACTGATGGGCGGGGAGTTGGTACCTGTTCAGTATGCATGCAATTTCTTTCCAAAAAATGTTAAGCATTTATTTGAAACAGAGATAAAGATAGAAGAGAGAGAGAGAGAGAGAGAGAGAGAGAGAGAGAAATACTTACTTCCGCAAGTTCCTTCTCCAAATGCCTGCAATATCTGGGTGGGACTGGGTCAGCAAAGCTGGGAGCTGGGAGCTCAATGCAGGTCTCCCAGGTGGGTGACAGGAACCCAATTCCTTGAGCCCTCACCTGCTGCGGTTGGGGTGCACATCACTGGGAAGCTGGAGCCAGAAGCAGAGACCCCAAAACGGGCACTGCAGTATGGAGCGTGGGGGTCCCAGGGGTGTCCTTAGTGCACTGCCAATCACCTGCCCCTTTCTCCAGACACTTCTCATCAGAGGTTTGTTGATCCAAGACGTGGAAGCCGTGGACACAGGGAGCTGACTGACTTCTCCAGTCAAGGTGAGCTGTCGGCCAGGGATGGGATCTGGTCAAGGCAAGCACGTTTAATGGGAGTAAGGAGTTTCTGCAGACTCAACATTTACAACTCAAAAATGAGAGGAGAGGGAGGGGGAGAGAGGCGGAGGGAGGGAGGGAGGGAGGGAGGGAGGCGGGGCCGGGGATGGGGAGAGAGAGGGAGGGAGAGGGAGAGAGAGCGGGAGGGAGAGAGAGAGGGAGGGAGAGAGGGAGGGAGAGAGAGAGGGAGAGGGAGGGGGAGGGACATAAAGAGAGAGAGAGAGAGGGAGGGGGAGGAAGGGAGAGAGGAAGGGGGATGGAGAGAAGGAGGGAGAGGGAGGGGGATGGAGAGAGAGAGGGAGGGGAGGGAGAGAGAGAGAGGGAGAGAAGGAAAAAAACATGAAAATCGGGAAAAAAAACCCAAAAGCATAAGTAAATTTCTCTCTCTCTCTCTTTCTCTCTCTCTCTCTCTCTCTCTCTCTCTTAACAGGCAGAGTGGACAGTGAGAGAGAGACAGAGAGAAAGGTCTTCCTTTGCCATTGGTTCACCCTCCAATGGCTGCCACGGCCGGTGTACCGCGCTGATCCGATGGCAGGAGCCAGGTGCTTTTCCTGGTCTCCCATGGGGTGCAGGGCCCAAGCACTTGGGCCATCCTCCACTGCACTCCCTGGCCACAGCAGAGGGCTGGCCTGGAAGAGGGGCAACCGGGACAGAATCCGGCGCCCCGACCGGGACTAGAACCCAGTGTGCCGGTGCCACAGGCGGAGGATTAGCCTAGTGAGCCGCGGCGCCGGCCGCATAAGTAAATTTTTAAAAATAAGAAAAAAAAACCCAGGAGTGATTTTCTCACAAGATCAGCCTGAACGTTTTGGCCACGACCCTTGGAGCACAGACTCCACAGCCATGACGGTGTGGTGTGACTGCCCCACCCTCTGCACACTGCACCAGCGCCGGGCTATGGCAGCCTGCTCCCACATACATTCAGGGCAAGTGCTATCACCTTTACAGCCCTCTATCTTGGCTGACCTTTCTGCCAGCGTGATTAGAAGTCAGGTACGCGCAGGCGGAGCACTTCTAAGAATGGGAGGTGAAACCTGGAAATTCCTGCGTGTCTAGAGGACGCCAGTTTATGTACACCTGCGAGGGTGGCGCCACCCTGTGGCAACGTTGTGAATGGTGTACAAGCCTAAATCCCATCAGTTTTGAAAAGAGGAGATCCTTAAAGATGTATTGGAAACTTAGAGTTACAGACAGACAGATCTCCCATCTGCTGGTTCACTCGCTGCAACAGCCGGGGCTGGGCCAGGCTGAAGCCAGGAGCCAGGACCTTCTTTCCATGTCCACCCACATAGGTGCAGGGGCCCAAACACCTGGGTCATCTTCTGCTTTTCCCAGGCCATTAGCAGGGACCAGAAGTGGAGCAGCTGGGACTTGAACTGGCGTCCATATGGGATGCTGGCGCTGCAGAAGGCAGCTTTACCTGCTACACCACAACATCAGCCCCAAAAAGAAGGGAATCCTGATCAATGTGTGAATTAGGCAGGACTCCGTGTTTCAACAATGAGGCAGCACATGAGGGCTTTTTTAATTCATATTTTACATAAGATTTCAGAGTTCCACCACTCACATTCGTACAAGATGTGTCTGCACCATAGTTGATCTGCTCAGATTCAGGAGTTTCTGCTAGACTGTTCCCATCCAGGACATTCTTAGGAGGGCTGCTGCACGGATACACACAGCAGTGTGCGTGTCCAAGGCGTTGGCTTTACAGCAGCGTCCCGCTGTGTCAGTCCCAGGTGGAGGGCTGGGCTGGGGCGTCACTCCCATTTTACTGTGAGAACTCTGAAGTCGACAGAAGTTAAAGTTTGCTGGGTCAAGTCCCGGCTCCTCTGCTTCTGACCCAGCTTCTTGCTGATGTGCACCGGCGATGGCTCAAGTACTTGAGTCCCTGCCACCCGTGCAGGAAGCCTGGATGGGGCTCCAGGCTCTTGGCCTTGATCTGGGTCAGCCCTGGCTGTTGTGAGCACTGGAGGAGTGAACCAGCGGATGGAAGATCTCTTCTTTGTCTCTCTGCTTTCTGAATAATGAAAAATAACTTTTAGAAAAAGAAATTAAACCTTGCCCAACAATCCTACAGTGCAGAACCACTAAAGAGCACCCCCCAGGCAGCCTGTGTCCAGGGTTCGGGGGTCACTTGCCATTTCTCATGTCCCCTTCTCCCTCTCACCCCTCAGGCTTCACACCAGACTGGCAGAGACCTATTTGCGGACTCCCCCAGGAGGCCCTGGGCTGACACCGAGCTACACTGCACCTCAAGTTTCTCTGCCTTTAAAAATTAAATTGGGGGAGGGGGGCTGGCGCTGTGGCGCAGTGGGACCCTGGCCTGAAGCACCGGCATCCCATATGGGCGCTGGTTCGAGACCCGGCTGCTCCACTTCCAACCCAGCTCTCTGCTATGGCCTGGGAAAGCAGCAGAAGGTGGCCCAAGTCCTTGTGCCCCTGCACCCATGTGGGAAACCTGGAAGAAGCTCCTGGCTCCTGGCTTCAGATCCGTACAGCTCTAGCCATTGCAGCCATCTGGGGAGTGAGCCAGCGGATGGAAGACCTCTCTCTCTCTCTCTCTCTCTCTCTCTCTCTGCCTCTCCTCTCTCTATGTAACTCTGACTTTCAAATAAATAAATAAATCTTTAAAAAAATTAAATTGAGGTAATCACACACACGCACATGTGCGCACACACACACACACACACAGGAGCACATGAGAAACTGGTGAGCTCTGACAAAGGTTTGTCCACTGTGCCAACGCCAGTTTCCTGGTTTTGATTTTGAACTATAATTATGGAAGACGTCACCATGAGGGAGGCTGTTGAAGGGTATCTAGAACTCTGTTCTATTTTTGCTGCTTCCTGTGAGTCTATGATTATTTTTAAATGATTTTTTGTTATTTTTTTAAAATCTGGAAATGAATGAATGCAGACAGACTCTCCAAAATACATGTTCCAGTGTCAGCACCTGATGTGCACTGAACCTCAGAGGAAGTGCTCTTTGTCACAGCACTGCTTAAAAAAAAGCAAAGCCCAGTAATTGCACTTTTATCATTACCACACCTCTATATAAGAGTAAAAATACAGGGCCGGCACTGTGGCATGGTGGGCAAAGCTGCTGCCTGTGATGCCAGCATCCCGTATGGGTGCTGCTTTGGGTCCCGGCTGCTCCACTTCCGATCCAGCTCCTTGCTAATGGCCTGGGGAAGTTGGCCCAGCAGAAGTTGGCCCAAGTGCTTGGACCTGTCACTCACACGGGAAACCTGGCCCAGCGCTGGCTGTCGTGGCCTTCTGGGAAGTGAGTCAGCAGATGCAAGATCTCTCTCCCTGTCTCTCCCTCTCTCTCTGTAATTCTGACTTGCAAATAAATAAATAAATACAAATCTAAAAAAAGAGAGAGAATGAAAGAAATTTATGTGTACCTCAAAAAAAATAAGTGGGAGGGTGGGCATTTGGTGAAGTGGTTGACGCTGTTTGGACATTGGCTTCCTGTGAGTGCCTGATTGGTGTTTCACCTCCTCTACTTCCGCTCCTTTTTTTTTTTTTAAAGATTTGTTTTATTTATTTGAAAGGCAGAGAGAGAGAGAGAGAGAGAGAGAGAGAGAGAGAGAGAGAGGTCTTCCATCTTCCAGGTCACTCCCCAAATGGCCAAAATGGGCGAGGCTGGGCCAGATAGAAGCCAGGAGCCAGGAGCGTCTTCCAGGTCTCCCACACATGTGCAGGGGCCCAAGCTCTTGGGCCATCTTCTGCTGTTTCCCCAGGCTCATTAGCGGGGAGCTGGATCCTAAGTGAGCAGCCGGGACATGAACAGGCACCCATATGGGATGCCGGCCTTGCAGGTGGAAGAGTAACCTATCTCGCCACCTCCTCTGCTTTTTGTCCAGCTTCCTGCTAGCAAGTATCCTGGGAGAGAACAGTTGCTAATTCGAGTAGTTGGGTCCCTGCCACCCATGTAGGAGACCTGGATTGATTTCTGAACTCCTGGCTTCAGCCGGGCCCAGCCTGGGCTGTTGTGGGCATTTGGGGAGTGAACCAGCAGATGGAAGATCTCTCTCTCTCTCTCTCTCTCTCCCTCTCTCTCTGTAACTCTGCCTTTCAAATAAATAAATCCAATAAATCTCTTTGTAGAACCTGGCGGGAGCTCATACAAGAGAGAAGGAAGCCAGCGAGCAGAAAGGGGCTCTTTGACAACTTGCTCTAGGGAGAACTCAGCCAAGGGCCTGCCAGAGCTGTCTTAATCCCTTCAGAGTACAGCCCCCACCCACCCCCAGCCACTCTGCACCATGTTCCACCTCTTTGAAAGGAAAAAGTGCTATTGAGAGGCAGAAAGAGAGCTCACATCCCCAGTGCCTGCAGTGGCTAGCCCTGGGCGCGGCTGACGCTGGGAGAGAGGGTCTCCCACCTGCTGCCTCCCAGGTCCACACTGAGAGTAAGCTGGATCAGGCACATGGATGTGGGGCGGAGAGGCCCTGGCTGGCGTCTTCACTACAGGACCAAACGCTCGCTCCTTAAAGGCCCCTCATGGCATCACCACACTGGGGACCACGCTGCCGGGGGACACACTCACACCACAGCCCCGCCACAGCCCTCGCCCTCCTTCTCCCACCCATCCCGGTTGTCTCAAGTTGGCTTTGCTGGTCACAGTGGACACCTCCCGGAGCTGTGCTCATGGCCCCCAAGCAACCTCTTTTCAGCCTCATCCCCTCCCCAGGTCACCTGGAGCAGCGCTTTTCCAACTGAGCCTTGCGGACGCATTCCTGTGGGTCTGCGGGAGCTACCAGACGTTTAGGATGCTGTGTTTGCGTTTCCAAATCACAAGGCAGGTCGCCCGGAACCCAGGGCTGCTGCTGCATGATTCCAGCACCTGCTTCTCCGCTGGGCGAAGGCTGTGTTCACGGCAGACGGACCCGTGTGCGGCGTCATCAAAGACACACGCTTCACCAGGGCTGGACACGGAAAGACGGAGAGTTGTGTGGTCCCACCTCTTTCCCTTCCAACTTCACCACAGTCTGCAGCAGGTGCGGCAGGAAATAAATAACGGCGAAGTTTCATTCAGTGCTATTTAGATCCTTCTCTGTTATATTGGGGGTGTGCATCACTGGATCGATTCACTCATTACAATACTGGGCAGGTGCTTATAAAGGAGGTCATTATTCAAAGCCCAGGAAAAGCACCGATAGTGATAATGCCAATGACTCAAATAATGATACATTATGAAAAAAAGAAAAAAAGGGAGAGAAAAATCAAATTGAAAATATATCTCTTCTGCATTGAGACCCATACGGACACTTCAGTGATTTGGTTTTGGTGGAGTATTATCCAACAGGCTGGTTTCATGTGGTTAAAGTTCATGACTTCTGGCCAATGCCGCAGCTCAATAGGCTGATCCTCCGCCTTGTGGCGCCGGTACACCGGGTTCTAGTCCTGGTCAGGGCACCAGATTCTGTCCCGGTTGCCCCTCTTCCAGGCCAGCTCTCTGCTGTGGCCCAGGAGTGCAGTGGAGGATGGCCCAAGTACTTGGGCCCTGCACCCCATGGGAGACCAGGAGAAGCACCAGGCTCCTGCCTTCGGATCAGCGCGATGCGCCGGCCACGGAGACCACTGGAGGGTGAACCAACGGCAAAGGAAGACCTTTCTCTCTGTCTCTCTCTCTCACTGTCCACTCTGCCTGTAAAAAAAAAAAAAAAAAAAAAAAAAAAAAAAGTTCATGACTTCTTTGTTTCTTTTTAAGTTTATTTGAGTTTAACAGCTGAGGCAGAATAGGAACTGGTGAAATGTGGAAGTTGGACAGTTTCGCGCGTCTCTCTGGTCTTCCCTGCCTTGCTCGGATTCAGCCCAGCCCAGGGAGGGAAGTCTCTCTCCCGCCCTCGCTGCTCGGCCCCGGGCACACCCAGGTGCAAATTCTCCCTTCTCTTTGCAGTAGCGCCTGAAGGGTGAGTCTCCCAGCCCTCCGGAAGGGAGAAACCAGTTTTTCAATGGGCAATGACTTCGTGTCCAGTTTTATTGGGCCATCAGGGAAGAAAAGAGAGTAGGGCTATTGTGTGGCCTGGTTACAGGGAAGGGCTCTGGGAGGCGCCTTCGAGGGCTGGCGCCCCTGCAGCTTCTGCCCAGCCTCTGGCTGGGAGACTCTGGAAACAGACCCTACCTTGGTTGTTGACACACAGGAGGGAGTCGGGTTCTCTACAGGGATTTCCCAGTGATGAACCAGACTGTGTTCGTCCTGTCGGAGTACAAAGTGTGGCCTCGTAAAGCCACCAGGACCCCAAGAGCCCCAAGTGGCCAGGGCAGCCTCGGAGCTGTACTTAGCTGGGCCTCTAGTCTGGGACAGTGAAAACCCAAGGAGAGCTGCTGCTGGCCATGTGAGAGGGCGTGGGGCAGGGTCTGAGACGCCGGCGGAATCTGGAGGCCGGGGCCAGCTGCTGCTGCTAACACAGCACAGCCAGGTGCGCCTGCAGCAGGACAGGCGCCCCCTCTCCTGCTCGGCCTTCAGCACGTGGGCTGACCTGAAGGCCAGCTGGCCGAGAAGTCTGGAACGTGCTTTGCCGACGATGGGCTTGGGGCTGGGGGACACAGGCCCTTTGTAAGGCCAGAAAGAAGCCAACAGCACACATCTCCAGATCTCTTAGCTGCAAGCCACAGAGCCGACTATGGCCCACTGAAGCCAAAAAGGAACTTAGCGATGGCTGTCGGGCATCTGGTTTGAGAACCTACATGAGAAATTGAGCCAGGACCACAGCCTAGATCCAGCCTCATCAGGACACGACCGCCCCCCGCACCTGCAAGTTGGTGTCATGGTGTGACAGGGTCTAGGGTCTATCCTTTTCCAGGAGGGACTCCGCGTGCCCCTCCCACTCTGTGCTTGCCTGCGGTGGGGCCTCTTGCCCCTCTCCACACCGCCCCAGCCCCTTCTGTTGATTTTGGGCTTGGCCATGCGACCTGTGCAGACCAGCAGAACCTGGGCCGAGTGCGCCAGTTCTGAGCAGAGGGCTGGAGAAGCACCCTGCCCTGGCCCTCCTGCCAGCCTGCACGGAGGGCACGTCCCAGGAAGCAGGCTGCTCCTTCAGCCTGGCTTCTGGAGGGAGACCCAGGGCGTGCACCTGGACCCCCGATGTCAGAGCACAGGCAGCCCACGCTCCAGCCACCACCGAGAGCTGGGATCAAGAAGTGCATGACTTGGGTTCAGAAGCCACTCAGATGTGAGGGGTGTGTGCGACTCCATTGAAAGCTGACAAATACATACGTCAGCTTCAAGACTCTCTCTTCACCTGTGTCTTTGGACCCCTTGCTCCAGACACAAAGTCCTCTGTGGCTGCACCTTGTCACTCAAGCCCAGGTCACACATCTTGTAGCACCAGAGAGGGAGACGTGTCCCAACCAGACTCGTGGGGTGAGTGATGGAGTGGGTGTACTGGCTTGAACAGCGTCCTCCAGGAATCCATTTCTACCCAGTGCCTCAGAATGTAACCTTATTTGGAAGTAGGGCTTCTGCAGATGTGAATAGTTAAAAATAAGGCCATACTGGACTCGGGTGGGCCCTCATCCAACAGCTGAAGTCCTTATAAGAAAAGAAAACAGAGAGGCGGAGAGATACACAGGGAGCAGGCCACGTGAGGACAGGGGCAGAGATTGAAGCGATAGGTCGGTCTGCAGGCCAAGAAATGCCCAGGGTTGCTGGCAGCCCCAGGAAGCTGGGAGGGAGGCGGAGAACAGAGCCTTCCCCAGAGCACACTGACACCTCGACTCCAGACGTCTGGCCTCCAGAAGGCAGATAACACGTTTCTGTCCTCAGCCCTCAGTTTGCGGTACTTGGTCACAGTAGCCCTGGAAAACGGAACGCAGTGGAAAATCCTTAACTATTTGTGTAGGAAGGGGGTACAGACGCTCCCTTCTTACCCTAAGAGAAGATCCATTTCCTGTTCTCCAGCACGCTCCAGTCATGTTCTGAAGTGACAGTTCCAGGGAAGGGTTCCTGCTTGATTTTTTTTTTTTTTTTTGACAGGCAGAGTGGACAGTGAGAGAGAGACAGAAAGGTCTTCCTTTGCCGTTGGTTCACCCTCCAATGGCCGCTGCAGCCAGCGTGCTGCGGCCGGCGCACCGCGCTGATCCGATGGCAGGAGCCAGGTGCTTCTCCTGGTCTCCCATGTGGTGCAGGGCCCAAGCACTTGGGCCATCCTCCACTGCACTCCCGGGCCACAGCAGAGAGCTGGCCTGGAAGAGGGGCAACTGGGACAGAATCCGGCGCCCCGACCGGGACTAGAACCCGGTGTGCCGGCGCCGCAAGGCGGAGGATTAGCCTAGTGAGCCGTGGCGCCGGCGGCTCTGCCTGATTCTTAAAATGCATGAGCTTTAGGAAATGCAGCAAGGGTGTCCCCAGGGCGCTGTGGCCTCTGTGGAAGGAATGGGATATTCTGGGTCACGGCTTTCTCCGAGAGCCCATCTGATCCAAAGATAACGTTGCCTGGAAAGGGTTGCTCAAGACACTTGGGTGAAAAAACGGGTGCACCTCGAAAAACTCTGTTTCAGATGCTACTGGCTGCTGTGGGACAGAAAGCCCAGGATTTTGGAATATGCTTTAAAAATACCATCACGGGGCCAGCGCTGTGGTGCAGCTGGTTAAAGCCCTGGCCCGAAGCACTGGCATCCTATATGGGCACCGGTTCTAGTCCCAGCTGCTCCTCTTCTGATCTAGCTCTCTGCTATGGCCTGGGAAAGCAGTAGAAGATGGCCCAGGTCCTTGGGCCCCTGCAACTGTGTGGGAGACCCATCTGGGAAGTGAACCAGTGGATGGAAGACCTCTCTCTCTCTGTTTCTACCTCTCTCTGTAACTCTGTCTTTCAAATAAAATAAAATCTTTCAAAAAAAAAAAAAAACACTTATAAAAAAGATACTGTCATGGGAGTCTCCAATTTTAACCACTGCTTTTGGGTGAGAGGTGGCCTGTGTACTTGCTCTTACTATGAGAATATTTTGAAAACAAGCACATAAAAGCTCAACCATTGGAATAAGCAATAGAGTTATTCATAAAAATATTTAAAGCATACAGAGACATTTGGTTAAGTGGTGTAATTTGCCTATATGTACACACACACACAGTGTGTGTGAATGTGGGTGTGTGTGTGTGTAATGTAGAGAGAGAGCTCCCATCCACTGGCTCACTCCCCACATGCCCGCAATGGCAGGGGACAGGCCAGGGCTGGAGCAGGAGCCTGGACTCCCACGTGGGGGGCAGGAGCCCAGTCACTTGAGCCGTCACTGCCACCTCCCAGGGTCTACATTCGCTGGAAGCTGGAGTCAGGGGCCAGACTTGGGTTTGAACCCCGGTACTTCGATGTGGTATGCAGGTGTCTTAACCGCTAGGCCAAATGCTCGCCCCTAAATTCTGTATTTTGAATATAGGTGTTTGTCTCCACCTGAAACTCATCTGAAATGCCAGCTGGGGGCTACAAGTGTGCGTGTGTGGGACCAAGGGGAAGGGGGTGCACTGACTGCTGAGCAGAGACGTCAGCACACCGTGGGGAGACCGGTCCTGAAGGGAAGACCTTAGAGGAGGCTGCCAGGGACAGCCAGTCCCTCCGCGAACATCAGGGGCGGCAGCAGGCTTGGACGCACAGTGGGACTAAGGGGAGGGGTGGTGGGTGCCGCGCGGGCCCCGAGACCTCAGGTCCTCATCTCAGGAACCTGTGGGTGCTGCAGATGCCATGAAGCCAAGGCTCCTCAGACAAGGTTGTCCTGACCGGCCCCAGTGCAGTCACACGGGGGAGGGGGAGGGGCCTGTGACACAGACACCGAGGAGAAGGCCACGCGAAGATGGGCAGAGAGAGATTCGAAGAGGCCCTCCGGGTGAGTGATGGGACCACAAGCCACCGAATGGCAGCGGCCACCAAAGCTGCGTGTCAGGAGCAGGGACACCGGAGCCCCCTACCCCGTGTGGCCCAGCCCGGCTGGAGAAGGGGGCTGGATTCCGTGCACAAATTGGACTTGAGCCAGAGCTGCTGCCGACTCTGGGGAGCCAGGCACGGTGCGGGGCGTGGCTGAGGCCCTGACCGAGGCTCTGCTTCCACGGCTGCGTCACTGCCTCGAGACTGGAATCTGGCTCCTGGGACGGGAGCAGTCAGGCTCTGAGCGCCTGGGCAGGAGGCCAAAGGACTGCTGCCCAAGAGGAACTCAGCAGCCTGGAGCAAAGGCCTCCGTGACCTGACATTTGGGGGTCCCCTAACCCAAAAGTTTCCCTGCCATCGTGCCACGCTGTGGAGGAACCCCCTCCAGGCCTCCAGCTCCACCCAAGAAGACAGCTCCCACACCCACTTCAAGATGGGAATCAGGGCCGGTGCTATGGTGTAG